ATTTTTGTGTTTGGCGTTTTTTAACGAGCTTGTTAAAAGTTGTTGAATTTCTGAAAGATTATGATAATTGAACGAGTTACAGGGTAAATAGTGCAAGTTTGAGAGTTTTACGCTTGCCAATTTTCAGAGCCCATTTCGTTCAAAATTGTTGCAAATACAAATTCTTATAGACAGTGATTGTGTCTAGAATACATTTTGCAACAGCAAACAGCAAACAGTCTGGTGTTCTAACTTAAAAATGAGTTAATAGAGGTAAAAATTCGCATAATTTTGTTCTGGAAATCGTCTTTTTGATCCTCAAATCATCATGACCTCCGAGTTTTTCAACCAGTTGCAATTTTCCGTGATGCAATTTTTATAGAAAATCGTACCTTTTCAACAAATTTCCAAATCGGCCCGATATTAACAGTTTTTGAAAATTAAAATGCGAGCTTAATTCTACAAAGAAAACACTGATAACATTTGTGTTGAAAAATCGTTTTCGACCGTCAAACTCTTATGACTTGAGTTTCTGAACTTATAGTATAGTATTCTGTTCAATTGGTGCAAACTCTAAGAGACAATGCTTTAATTTTGAAAATAATAAACGACAAAAAATATCAAGATTTCAATCCAATTAAGTCCTAGCAATTTTCATTAAAGTCGCTCTTCTTAGTGGCTGCTTATTACAATAATGATTATTTAATCAATTACAAGAGCAGTTGGCCCCAAAATTTCAATTCCAAAATTAGCTGCATAATATGGATAGTAACATCAATCTACAATTATAGTTGGATATCAATATGCAGTTCTATATTAGATTCGGCTGACTAATGTAAATGGAAATGTTTGCCATTGCAGGCGGGCGATCCATTAAGCATTTAGCATAACTAGGTAACACATGTTTTTACGAGCAATATTTTAAATTCATAACTGTACAGAAGTCGTCACGTAGTAAGCGCGTATCAGATTTAGAATTAATGAATTTGAACATACCTATGATATATTTACGTGTCAGTTCAGTTGGTTGATGTCGCTTTTTTCCGTCTAATTAGCTCCTTTAATTTGAGCTGTATTCTAGTAACTCATAACATGTGTTAATGTGTATAAAGTCTGCAAATAGCTTCAATTTGCACTATTGGAAAGGACAAAAACATAAATTTACAGGCTTAAAAGTGAATGTTAAGAACGCATAAACTTATTGCAGTTTGACTTTGTTGAGCATTTTCTTTCGTGCCGCTCATTTTGAACAACAATTCAATTGCATTATCAATTTATATAATTGTTGATAAAATGCAACAACTATACTTACTTTGTTGTGTTATTTAAGTGTGCTTGTTTAGAAAACTGATAATAAAATAATGCTGGGAAACCGCCAATAATTTCCGTAAAATATTTTTCTCCAACCTGCCCTCAAAGCAGTAATGCACTTGAACCACTTTTAGGATTTCGAAAGCGAAAAAGGGCACATCTGAAAGTTGTCCATCGCAGACCAAAAACTCTAGAACCAAGTGGCTCACGCTTAAGAAGGCTTGAAGAGAAAATTCCCTTTTGTAGTTCGATTGAGGGTTTTATTTTAGGGACTGGGTGCGAGATCAAAGGACGACTTACATTTCGTGATTCCCTTTTCGCTAAATATAAGAAACCTCATTTCAAATCATAAATGTAAACTGAGGTGTGAAAAAGCGGCATTTGGATGCTGAATTTCCAATTTTCCTTTGTTGTCTCACACAGGGCAAACTCGGATCGTAAAATAGAAAATTTACTGTCGAATTGAGCACTACTTTAGCGGTTTTGTGGACGTGGAAATATCTGTGACGGTTGGCAAGTTTAATCAATTTGAAACTTTGCAAATAACGAAACTGTAAAAGAGATTATATTCGATAATTTTATTTATGGCGCTGAAGAGTGAGGCGTTTGTACAACTTAATTTATTACAATGAAAGTTTGCCAGTAAACAAGAACGAAAGGCGGAAGATAGATTTTAAATGAATTTGTCTACGAAAAAGTTCTTATGTTTGTTATCTAGAAATATAGTTGTTTTGAAATTGAAATGTTTTTTAAGAGAAGGGATTTAAAAAAAGTTTGTGTTTATTTGCCATGGAACGTTTAGCTAGTGCTTTACAAATTAATATTTTGAAAATTTTTCACACATTTGTTTATTTCTTTATTCGTCGGCCCCAAATAGGAATATTTGATTTTCAAGTGCTTTGTCCAAGTCAGAAAAAATGTTAAGTTTAGTTAAGTATAGTTAAAGATATTTGAAACTTGGGCTTTCTTTGAAGATGTACGGTGACTTTCTGCGGAAACTTGTTATAATTCCCGGCAAATCTTGCCTAATGGAGTTTTAAACATTTTGCAAGCGTTGAGCTTTGAACACTGAAAAAGTTATCGTCTGTTCATTTTTAAAGTAACTCAACTTGGTCAACTGATTGAAGATTTTCTTGTCAGTTTATTAGAACCCCAATCAAAATACTGACAAATTCCTTCACATTTATAGATATTTCTCTTACATTAAAAAAAAAATAATTTAAAAATGTCTTGGATCGCTCTCTTTATCATTTTGAATATAGACATTTTTTACCGAGAAAAATTTCAGAATGGAACAAACCATTACTAAAGATGTGCTTAACAATTGAAAATAACCTACAGTTAAGTTCAAGTCAGAGAACAAGTGAAACACCATAATTTGAACGCACGGCCATCCAATTGATGCAAGCGATTTATAGAAATTAAATTGCAAGTTATTTCCTGAAATTGCATGCAAATTGTGCAGATCTAGATCAGAGCTAAAATAGCCCAATTACATGGAAGTATTCCTTTCAAGAAATTCGTTAGTAAGTTTGAGGAAAAGGCTAAAGTTATTTTGCAATCTCACTTCGTTCAAGGACTTTCTTAGAAGCGAATGTGTTGCTTTAAAGTTTCTTAAACCTCAAACGGTCTTACAAAGATCAGTTTGCATTAGAATTTTTGGATTTGAGTTGCGCCATCTTCAAATTGCAACCAAAACTGAAATAACGCAATTCTAAGTGGGTACTGCATGGGAAAGATTGCTTAAGTCTAAGTACCCAGTTAGTTCAGCAATTGTCTGCTAGATGAAAGTTCATTCACGTTTTGCGCCGCTAACTATTGGAAAGTGACTACAGGTACCAGCGAAACAGCAGAAGATTGAAAACACCTGCAATTCTGAGGCACTTTTGAGTTACAGCTTTTTCCAGTTGAAGTATTTTCTGCAACGAAAAAAGTGAGCAAATCACAAAAAAACGAGCTGATTTAACACGGTTATTTTCTTCTCAAATAAGGCCAAAATTAGTTAAAATTGCTGTTGAATAAATAGAATAACTGCAGGTATTATGGACGTTAATAGTAGAATGTTTTACAATGATAACTTGGAGTATGGCTCATTATTTCATGCCCACTGAAATCTCACTGTTCATTAAGAAAATTGCCCGTGATTTCAGGTGGCTAAAACGTCCACCAACGAATGGAAACGGACTTTAACTTAATCATGGCTTGATACAGTTTTAATTAAAAGTCATCGCAGGTCCTTAATATGTATTCTCTTAATGAAAAAGGTTTTCCCTTCGTTCATCATATCATTTATATTATCATGTTTTCGTGACTATCATTTTCGGCTTGAAAACCTTGGAAGACCCGTAAACTGTGTCCTTTAGTCGGAAAACTCTGCAGGTTTGATTTATTCAGCAGTTAACATTTCCACATTTGCATGACTTCCAGAATCATCCCATCATCAAATATTTGCCCCAATTGCACTCTTGTAACGCTCACAAATAACCGCAACCTTTTAACGCCAGAAACAGCGCAAAACATGAATCGAAGGATGTGAAAAACATCGACAAAAGTGGAAAATCGAGGTGTAGATTGATGATTTTACAACAGAACGTATACGAAATGGTGTAAGAACGCACAAACAACAAATTAGCTTTAAAGGCCAATTGTGTTCAAATTAATTTCCCTAATTAATCGCTCTTTATTAAGAAATTTTCCTACGATTTGCCGTGGTTAAAAGTTTGCCAAGTCAAATGAATCATCCAGCTTTGATTAAGGCACTGGTAAAGCTTGAATAAAGAGCTGCCGCAGATGGAGAATAGTTAGTTCCACAATGAGCTTAGTTTTGATAAATTGAGAATTTAGTCTTATAGGCGAGCGCGTTCGGCGGCAAAAGAAACGAAAAAGAAAGCAGACTTTTCTTTACGACGGTGTAGTAAAACGATAATGAATCCATCGCCCTCTTCAGAAAATGGAATGCTCACGCAGCTTTCTTCTCTTCATCTCATACCAAAAAAACCAGTCTATTAAATCGAGGACATTATACATCTAGGTGAAGAAATCCGATTCATTGATCTTTTATTATTGAAAAGAGAAATTAATTGAGGGGAACTCGGGGAAAATTACACCGCACAAGTGCGGGCAACGGCCTACAGCTACAATTTTATTCAATTTTCTCATAAATTATAAATGATTAAAGAATACGTTAATTGCCAGTTGCATACGAGTTTTGGCATTAATTATACTAATTTCATCAATGATTATTGAGCATGCTTCAAAAGACCAGAATTTGGTTTTTTAAACATCCGAAGCGAGCAGAGTGGGGCTAGATTAGTAATTACCAAATAATGATAATATAAACTGTTTCAGTAAAGTGGTGTCCGATGGTGCACCAGCTTCCTCTACGAACAATCCATACAAGAGAGAAATTTATTGGAATTTGGGTCAATGTTACATTAAAAGGCGGATATATTAAAATGTCTTTCTGGGTTTATTCTCCAATTAACTGCTTAATTCCAACTCATTTCAATAGGCAATTTTCCGAACATTTCAATTGGAAATGGCATAAACAACGTGCAATAAACTGCCGAAACATTCAGCGATTAATAGACGTGATGAGTTTATGAGGGCTAATGAAATGGTGACGCTGAAAAACATGGAAAATTGCTTTTTCTGCAATAAAATATTTTGATGACAATTTGAAAAGTGAGTGATGGAATGAAATGGCGAAATAAATAAATAAATAATTTAATAAATTACAAAGACATCGCTAAACTAAAGCGATTTGTACTGCTCCCATCCTTGATAAGCCATTTCGATGGCTTCCCTCTTCTTTCGATGGTATTCGTGACCGTGACCAGCGTGAATTACATGGTGACCTAAAAAATTATTTACTTCTTACAAATTGAGAATTCTGTTGAATGTAATTAGTCTAGATGATTGAGTGCTGTATTAAACTGCTAGATCTAATCAACTTTGAAAATTTCCAATAAAGACCGACAGTGCATTAAATTGGGCTTTTTGTGGACGACTGTAAAGTTCATTTTACCTGCTCCATCGTAGTTTTTTAGAAGCCTACCAGCTGTGAAAATCTGCCCAACTTACCACCGCCGTCATCATCATCATGATGAACCAGCTTCTTCAGCCCGATGATGAGTGAGAGCATAAGGGCCAGGGCTGACACCATAAGAGCTTTCATGGCCAATAATCCCACCCCACCGATACCGAGAGCGGCCATCAGTTTCCCCATCATCAAACCCATAAGCATTACTCCTCCGCCTCCACCGCCTCCGCCGCCGCCTCCTTTACCACGTCCTTCGTCTATGTTATTTAAACAGATTCATATAGTGGTTGATTTTTAAGCAACAATAAATTCTGCAATATCATTTTTGTAGTTTGATGCTGATGAGTTTACCGTAGGTGTTTTTAGTTGATATGGAGCAAATTTGCAATGATAATGATTTAAAAATGTGTCTGTTTGATCACTCTTTTCTTGAAGGTTTGTGAAGCAAAACATTCAACTGATTATTGCTAAGGACGTTTACATAATGTTTTTATGCAAGTTTGAAGCTATGATGTTTCAAATCTTTTGTGGCAAACAGATAAAGTGACAAAATGCATAGAAAAACGCGTCAGAAGCCAGTTATTTTCAAAAGTCTATATCGAATCAGTTACTGGCTTTGTTTTTATCGAATACTTACTCTCGTTCTCCTTGCTCTCCACCTCATCCATTGCAGTCTTGAAGGCCCTTCCAAACCCTTCGCCAGGCATCAGCTCTGGTAGGCGAATTCTCACTTCATGGCTGTCTAGGTAGTTTTCAACTGCTCCAATCAGAGTGGCATCATCCCCGAAAGCCCTTGCATCATTCTCACTTCTCGTACTAATAATGTGCACACCATCACCAAGTCTCACATCCTCAGGCAGCGAATTGATGTACTGGCGCAAAATTTTCGACAAAATCGTAATTCCATTCGACCCTTCAGCCGTAGCCAATGTTGCAATTAATAAAATAACACTGGTCAACACGAAGAACTTCATGTTCCAGCAGTGACACCGACTAAAATGTATTAGGTGCACTTCTAAACCACTACTTATACGGAGCGAAGTGCAAAAAATTAAAAGCCAGTTTTCTTGATAGGAATTTAGTGGAGCATAAAAATCTGGGGAAATATAACAAAATAAATAATTAGATCGAGATTGTCTGCAGCATCTTATCTGACCTGGTTTAGGCGCAAATAGACGGGATTGAAAACTGATGCAGTTCATATTTACATGGTGAACAAGTAAGGTGAATGGCACAGAACATCAGCTATTTACTTCTTGAAATTGATTGCCAGTTACCAATGAACATTTCATCAAAGAACTTGCTGTTTCTTGGATTCCAGAACATATTTGTTTTCGTAAGTTTTGGGTTAATTATTTTATGGCTTCCTTTGTTAAGTTGGGAAGCCCCCTAGCTCAGTTAACACGGTCTTCCACCCATGAGAACAGTTGCTGCTTGACGAAAACATTTAAAAAATCAAGCAGACGCACATAATCAGAAATTGTAACTTCATGCATCAAAATTGCTACATTTTATGAGAAACTAATGATTAGAAAAACTCTCTAAGATTTAATGGACGAATGTTTTCAGCACGAAATATTGGTACTACTAAGGAACCGCAAAATGAGAGAAGAAAGTGTTTCTCTGCTCCACACTGTACATCTGATTGTTAATTTAAGTAATTGAGATAAAAGTGCGCACTTTTTCTTTAAAGACCTGCTTAATGCGGAGCGAGAAACGGTCGAGAGACCAGAATGGAAACGCATGTTTTTTACAATAAGAGAAATGCTCATGAAATGCTACTCGTTTGGTTTGGTTACAAAATAGCCAAACCCTCGTGCCTGAGGGCTTTCGATGTAAAATTTAACTTTGCAGATCTGTAACAGTTCGATCAATTCAGGAAAATCCTAAACCTCCAGAAAAAACCGATTCTTTCTCCCAAAAGTCTAATGTCAATAGTCCAACAAGAATCGATTTATTCAGAATTAATTGCTTTGCGGTTTTGATTCTCCATTCACTGGAGAGTGAAAAAGTGAAACCGGGAGTTTTTACGCGAGCGAAATAAAGAACTTGGGCAAATATTTGCCATAACTTTTGGATGAATTCAACATGTCGAGTAGCTAAACGCACCAATAGGTTAGTAGGTAACTGACCAATCTTTTTTACTTGATTCGTTCAAAACATGAATCTAAGGAATTATCGAGTTTCCTTTTAAGCGATGGAATGTAGACCAGTCGCAGGAGGCAAAAGTAATTTATAAACAAGATCAGCGGACAAATTGCTGAAATTTTCATTCATTTCCCATGCCTTAGAGCCGTTATTAACATTGAGAATCTAGCCCAAATAGACTGCCAACATATCGCAATTTCAGTCTTCAAAGCTACATCAGCAATTACCTGAAATTATCCATCAACTTTTTAAGAAATTCCCCAATACAGCCACAATATTGTTCTACTTGATAATCGTGTACTTTGGGAACTTCCAAAAGCATTCCCGGGCCGATTTCAGGCCTAAACGGATTCATTAACATTGTTGGTTCTGGCAAGGAGCTACCTGGGAAAACTTCCGATAATAATCGAGCCCGTTTGAAGGTCCCTGGATTTATCAATGTATAATAATTAACTCCAGAAAGTTTTGGCATTTTCCCGCAAGGGAACTGAGGAACCTAATAATTGCTCGTGTCTTTGCAAGTTTAGTAACGACCTTCTTATAGACAAGCTATTTGATTGGAAAATTAATAGGTTTATGTTTTGTCACTTGCCAGGGGCCCAAATCTGGAAGATCCTACTGAAAACTGTTGTACTGTAAAACTGTTGCAACTTCGATTTGCCAGTATCTGACAGCTTTAAAATCAATTTTTTTAAATTCTGAAATCGAATTTCGTGAATTTGCATTTGATCAACTTAAGCAGATCACCAATAAGAAAATTCTACATTTTCTACTTGTTACCTCATCTCTTTACATTTTGAGGTAGTTTTTTGCCGATTGATTAATTAATCCATAGCTTTTGTTAAAACCCGTCCAAATTATTTAGTAATTACATTATTTGACAAAATCTTGCATTGAGTTCCATTAATTTGTTCGTTCCCAATTTCAAGTTTTCCGTTGTGCAGTTAAAAAACTAAACATTTAATGTTTGATGTTATAAATTTTAGATTTTACGCTTTATTTATAAGATTCCGGAGGAAATCAGCGAGCTTAAAGCATTAATTTTTAAGCCCAAGCAAGCACAATGAGGCCTTAGTTTCCCAGCAGCACTTTTAAGAATTTGTAAAAAATTTACACGTTCTGCAAATGTACGCGCATTTTATCACTGAGGTCTTGGTCACATAACTGCCATAAAACTGATTGCTTTATAAAATCCCAAAAATTCAGCTTCTAGCCAGCCCATTTCGCAACTTACGATTTTTAAGCAACGCGAACACAAAAATACTTGACTTGAGTTCTTCAAAGCTAACTTTAGAAATTTCTGCAAAATAATCTGAAGCTTCAAATTAATCACACGGTAGCACAGTGGACTCTTTAGGTCCTTTTTTATATCAGGGCCCATTTCTTAAAAATTTTCCAGCCTCTTGCCGCTTTCTCCTGCAGTTTTTTGCAGTCACACTTAAAAATTCCTCAAAACTCTTCTAACTAACAAAATTTATTGATATTTTACGTGTCAGACTACCAAGTACTTGCAAAGATAAGTCCAGCTTTAAAAGGCTCTAGCAGGCGCAGATGGGAATTTATGAATTCTTGAAATTCAACGCGCCAAACAAGGCAGCAACTTTTCAACCTCACATTTAAAAAATTCTTTAAAATCAACATTGCTGTTTGACTAAACTGAAATTCTGCCCAATTAACCGCTAAACTTCTACTGATAAATCGGCCAAAACTCAATATTTCAGTTTGCCGAGTTTCAGAATTATGAGTCCAAATACAAATGGTAAAAAATTAGGCACTTTTAAGGTTCTATGGCATGTTTTATGTGTACCTGTAATATTTTTTATGCAACCTTAGTTATTAGCATATTTGTTTCTCTAAATTATTTGGCTTGGTTGTAGAATATTTTGTTTGTTTTACATATTTCTTTGAGCTACATACATATTTTCCATTGGTTAATGTGTTGAAGTGAAGAACATTATCCAAACCCGCTATTTTTTATTGAAATTTAAATTCCATTAATTTATTGATTTGCCGTTACGCCTTTTTAAAACAATTCAATTAAGACTGCAACTATTGAATAATTAAAATCCCAACTCCCAATGTTTTCTTTATATTTATTAAGAGAAAATTTGCCTGAACATTTTATGTACGAAAAAGCCAACAGAACTAAACTATGGTAAACAAAGTTAAGTCAAAGTGAATAGTAATGGTAATAAGAGTGCTGATAACTAAAGAATTTACTTGTAAAAAGCATTAACAAATAAATTATACTGAAAATTCGTATATAAATTAAGTCATCAAAATTTATATGCCTGTAAGAAAGAAATTATTATTTGCAATGTGAAACTTTGTCCCTGAAAAAAACCCAAATTCGAAAATGTACACAAACCATGTACATACTTTTCAAACTGAACAATGGGTAAAATCAAGCAATTACTGTAAAAACTGAACTAGAAATAGGCTACAAATGTGAGTAAAATATGGGTTTGACAAAAATGTTTAGGAACTAATGTTAACTAATAAAAATATTTAGGATCTTAAAAAACCATCCTAAGGTTAAGGGATTCGAATAGCTAAAAAGTTCTTTGGGCATCCACTTTGACTCAAATTCTAGAAATTCAATGTTGGCATATTCCTTGTCGAATGTTTTCATTCTTCATTACTGTATAGCTTATCTTAAAATTCAAACGAAAAAAGCAGTGCATTAAAAGACATAGAAAACACTACTTAAGAAGTAAAAAAAAAGTTAAAACACATAGAAGCTGTAATATATAGTGGTTAAAATATATCGTCTTTTAAATGCAAAACTTCCTTCTGTTCAAGGGCTGCCGCATATATCCATTGTTTAAGCACAATTTTAAATTAGTTAATCTTAAATTATGAAAGCATTTTATAAAAAATAAAAGTGCTTAAACGAATTTCCCCATTTAAATGAGCTAATCAGAGAAACGATTTTCCAAGTCTGCTGTTGCAAATATTCCGCACTTACCATAATGCGATGGACTGATTTTCCACACCTGATAGATTTTTTAATAATTCGGCCCGATGGCATGCACGACTTTAGGAAAACATCACGCCAGCTTTCAGGGTTGGTTACCAACCATAAACGATATAAAGCGGTGCGTGGTAAATACTCCAGTTATTTTGCCATAAAACTTGGCACTTTACAACTGCAAACCCAATTTTCATTAAAAAGCAAAGTCCCATAGCCATTGGAAAACTACTAGCTTCCTCTAGCTAATTGCCATTAAAGTATGCGGCTCGTTTGGTTGGTGTTTCTGGTGGTTTTGGCTAATGTAAATGCGGGTCATGTGTGGTTAAAAGACCTATTTTCTCCCAAAGGCTTGGATTTGGGATATGGAGTGGTGTTAAAATTAAACGATAGTCATAAAGACGGGAAAAATGTGCCCATAATGGAGCGGTTTACTTTGGACTTGAAACTGGGTGATTTATTGGGTGTGAGTGTTGGTAAACCGAAGAGCGACGGTGTTGAATTGGACTTTTATGTCAATAAAGATGGCAATTTCCACGAAGGTAAGTACTCGTTAATTTTACTACAGTCATCACTTAAATCTTGTATTTACTTGATTAACTTTGGGAATTTTTCAAATTGAAATTTATTGGTCGTTACTCCACTATCTATTGAACTGTTGTTTGGCACAGATTTACCAAACTTGTGCCAAAAAACATCAACTTGACTAAAAGTTGTTTTCCAACGATAAACAACTTTCTTGGCACTCAATCTTAAGCTTCAAAATCAAGTTAAAATATTGGCCGCCATGGAAGCGACTAAGCAACAGCTATTTAGGAAATTCATTATCTTTCACAAAGAAACAAATTGTAGGTAGAGGCAAAAAAGATGACAACAGCAAACAAATGATGATACAGATGGTCATCGGCTACAAAGCGGCACTCGCCATTAGTGCAATGATGGCCGTTATAAAACTACTCACTTTGAAAGCCCTCATTGCTGCAAAAGCAGCCCTCATGATTTCCTTATTGGTGCTGATTTTGAAGCTCAAACAACCTCATTCTTCCGAAGTAGTCGAAGTCGAGCAGCTTGAGTATCCAAGTCCGCCCATCATAGCTAAAGATATTGGTAAGCATTAGGCAAAAACGGATTTTTACTCCTAAACAAAAACGGTCATTTTCAGGACCAAGTTTCCAAGGAACTGCTGGAGGATATGGAGGAGGATTCAGAGGCGGAGCTGGCCAAGGTGGCTCAGTACAGCATAATTATGGCCAGGAAGCTCAAAGTAGTAACATGTATTCCGATATAATTTACGCTCCAAGTGGAGCGGGTCTTCAAGCCAACTCAGAACAGAATTCCCCATATAATGCAGCAGATACAGAAGCTTCAACACAAACAGGCATTGCAAGGAAAGGAAAAGACATCCAGCGCAAACGTGATACTGCATACTTTAGGAAGATGCTGAGCGGATCAGCAGCTAATATATTGACTGTTAAAAAATACATCTTGCCTGCATAGTAATTCACAATTGCTACAGTCTTAATTAATATATTTATGATTTCAAAATATTTAAGGTTTTTTTTATTGATTTGTTTCATTTTGTGAATATTTGAAATTAGAGTATGAATATTTGAAAAATATTCGTTTAAGTTCGGCAAACATCATGGAAAAGTTTTGATTTGATATTCGCACAATATCAATGAATTAGCGATTCCGCCGCAGCTGAAACTTTTTAAATCCAGGGCAAGTTCAGATTAGTTTCAGATTTACGACTATTGTTCACGTGGAAAATGGCAGCAGAAATAATTGGGTATTTTCAGGACTTTCAATGCCAGTGTTAAGGTTTCGCAGAAGATTTTCTTGTTAAATTTTCATTCGTTTTTATATTTATTCGTTTATGAAGTCCGCGAATAAGTTCAGTTTTAATATTCAAAAAATTCCAGTTAAAAGTCTGATTATATAAAGAGAAAATTCCGATGTTTAAAAATGTGCAATTGGTGTTGTCAGAAGATGAAGGTGATAGTGTTTTGCATTTGCTGATGGATGTAAAAAATGCTTGCATTAAAGAGAACGCAGTTTCACTTGTAATTTGCCCAGAATGCCAAGACATATTAAGATTACGGAGTTTTAAGGACGATAAATGTTGAACTATTTATGAAGAGCTGGTGATAATCATAAAATTTTAATGTAAAAAAATACGTCTAATTTTCCGCATTTTTATATGATTTTTTACTCTGAAAAAAGATGTATGCAATTAATTTTTTTAATAAGAAAAACTGCCAAATAAAACAAATGAGCGAAAATGAGTTAAAGACAAAAATTGTAAATTGTAAAGTGCCTCAAATTGCAAAACATTTATGAATCGTTAAATAAATTAGCACTTCGATTGTTGTTGGTTAAATAACTCAAATATTTCTTATGGCACATTCATACAAGCCTAAAAACTACAAATTTTATGCAGGTATATTTTACCATAAATTTTAAAATCATTTATAAACACTGTGCATCTTGTAAAATTTTGCTATTCTTTAAATTATCTGTATTATGATATTTCCTGTGAAAAGCCGAACATTCCATAAAACTTTCCAACTCCTGCTGAAATTTCACTTTACTCCCTTGCTTTAAATCAGGTTTTTGGGGGATTTTTGTTTGATTTTGATATTGATATAAGATTCATGTTGCCGCTGGTTACTGGCTAAAGTCTACAACAGCTAAAATCTATTTAAAGGAATTGAGCTTCAACAATAATTTTTCGATAACATTTTGTTAAGAAAAATCCTATATACATTTCTAAAGTTAGACAACTTTATTAGATTCATATGAAGCGTAATGAAGTATGTGAGAGTTGTTGGTTTTAATTAAGTTTAATTGTAATCTAAATTATAGTTAGAGGGTAAAATTAAAGCAGAATTTATCCTTTTTACAAAAATGTACATAGTCACTATTGAAAGCTACATACTTTGATTTATTTACAGCTGAACTTAACTGAGGTGTAAACCACCTGAAAAATCGTGCTGTTTATTCTGCTAATTCCAGTACTTCGATTTCATTACCTCAAGCACTTGTATACAATCATTCAGACAAAACTTTCTATTTCATGGTAGGCATTCAATTTTATCTGCAACGTTGCATTTTATTCAGCAATTCTCTACTGCATTTTTATTCTGGCAAGGCTGAGTGTTCTCAAGTACCTACATATAAGTCTCGATAAACTCAACAGGACTTCGGTGAAACCAGCAAGAAGACACTTTCTCTGCAGTTATGTGAATGTCGAGAGTGCATTTGAAGGGGGTTAATTGTAATAATTTTCATTAACTCGCAGTGTTTTCTTAGTGCCAACAGTCGCTGCCATATACGGAATGAATAAAGCGCACTGAAATTGTCATCCAGAACAGTTTTCTTTGGTGAAACTTACGTGATAGCAGGACGATACTTCTGACTATTTTAAGCACCTGCACTTTTCGTATGTTAAACTATTTAGTAAAACCATATTTGGCAACCACAGGAGCTGGGGAATTTCAGTTTATTCAAAATAGGTAGTTGCTTTTAAATAATACCAAAAAGTAAGGAATAATCATCTCTCTGTGCCGTCGCTGAAACTTTAATACTCGCAGATTAAGTTCGGATTTTAAGCCTCAGATTTACGGGTATTACTGTTTTCCCAGAGGAAATGATAGCGTATTGTTTCTCAGTATCCACGTATTTGAAAGTCAGCATAAAAGTTTTGCAGGATGCTCCTGTATTAAATTGTTAACCAAGTGGGATCAATATTGTCCGGATTTAAATTCCATGAGTTAGTTAACTTCTAGTATTCCAGCTAGAAACGAGGGCGAATTCGATTTATTTATTTTCGATTTCGAACAACTGCTCATTAGCAGAAGCAGAAGGACAAAACGAACCTTTGAGAGCCCATTGTTAGGAAGTGAGAATTATTGCCTGTACATACACTGAGGTTCAGCCAATCAACCGATTTTACCAAGAAAAGCAAAATAAATAAGGATGCCCAATTAAAACCCTGCTGTCTGCTGCGAAACTTTATCAATAAAATTTCCGCAAATAAAGGCAGAAGAGGCAGCTCGCTGCGAATTGCTTAACTAGAAATTCCTGTTGGTTTAGTTTGATTTTATATAATGCTAGTTTGAAGTGCTTGTAAATAAAAAAAAGTGTTTGCAATTTTCGTTGAAAGTTCATTAATTCCACTCCAACCATTCGAACAGTTTGTTTGGAACTATTATTGAACTCGATTTAATAAAAAAAATTAGTAACCCTCAAGCATTCGCTTCAATCTACATTGCTGTAGCATTTTTGCTTGTACGATAGGGAAATCAAAGTGCTTTTTTCTTTCGCAAACAACTTCCAAGAAATTATTTATGTAGATTTTTCGCTGCTAAACTTGGATGGGTTTTTCTGAATCAATAGGCCGCATATTGAAAATCCACAACAATTCCAGAATGTTTTCTTAAACCGATATTTTTTTCCAGATTTCCCGGGAAAACTTCGAGCAATCGAATAACAGCCGAGAAAACGCTGCTCTCAGAAAGATTTTTCCAACATAAAAATTTACATTATGCTTCTTCTATTGCCTACAATTGTTTGTAATTGGATTTTGTCACTGATAGAGTGAGCTTTTGTCATTAATACGGAAGCGTTCTCAAAGTGAAGCTCAGAAGAGATTTGCATTCTTTTACATTTATTTTTGTAATTCTTTTAGAATCAACTCAGAAATCCTCTCCCGTTCGGTAAACAGTTTATTGGAACAATTAACGTAAAATTCACATCAACAATAAATAAAATAAATTAAATAACACACAGGACACCAATGTGGTGGTAACGAGACTTTAAGACAGCACGAATGCTGCTGATAAACATGAAAAATAATCATCTAATTAGCAGGTACGTGAGCACTGTAGGCCAAGTTTTGGGCATTCTTCGCATCGAAGGTTCTTCCCCATCCACCACCGCCTCCATAGCTGTCATGACCGCCACCACTCACATGGTGCTCATGGTGATCATGGTGATCATGGTGAGGCTGAGCCACCACTTCGTAAGTTACGTGTTTCTCTTGGCTCAGCAGCTTCTTTAGACCAATAATGGCAGCCAGAACTAGAGCAAGCTGAAAGGAAAAATATTTTTAAATTGATTGTAAAATTAAATAAATAGGAAGTTAATTAAAATATAAATCAACTAATGCGTACTAATTTTCCTGTTTTGACGATATTGAGCAAAAAGATTTACATTCAATTAAAAACTGTAGTTGTGTTTGCCTGGGAAGAAGAAAAATTCATAATATTTGATGGAATGTTTTTCGAATATTTTCCAGGATTTTCCCTAGTTTCATTCGTTAATTTAATGAGCACTCTGGTCATAATATATAAAACAGTTATTGACTTCATCAACTTTTAAATGCCAATGTAAATTTTAATTGACTCTAAGCATTTACATATTCAACAACGTCCCTAAGCTGAAAGTTTTCAATGGAATAATGCTTGAAGCGAATGAAATAAATGCGAGAGTTATCTGTCTTATATTTTGTACCGCTTACAGAAACCTTAAACTTAGCCCATAAATGTTTAACTGAAATTTTAAAAGAATAATTTCCAACCGAAGGCAGTTATTCGTTCAACTGTAACACCTAACACTCTGGCCAAGTTTTCACTGTTTAACTAGTAATTCGTTTGTGGATTGCCACAAGGCCCAGCAATTAATCAAGATATTTTATCAGATGCGTACAGGAGAAAGCAGAACAGGATTTAGTGAAACCTCTTTTACCCAGCATGGTATTGAACGATTAAAGTGTATAATGAAGACGACAATCTCGTGTGAACGTCCATTGAGTCCATTTAATTTTTGAAACTTAAGGCATTTTTCTTCCTAAGCTTCGCTGCAACGACCATATATTCTTAAAATTGCCGAATTAATGACCGTTGAAACTTTGTTTCCAAGTTTATCGTTTGCTCATTTTTTCCCATTAGGCTCCCGCACGGAAACTTCCAGTTTGGTAACCATGAAAATTTTTATTGCACTTTTCTCTATGAACGAATCTCTGCCGTCCGGGTCTTAGATGCGCACATAATTCAGGATCTTCAGGCTTTAAACAAAATTGTTTAAACTTTAAGCGCTAACAGCTCCCCCTATAACCAAACAACTGAACAATATCAGCTACTAGTTGGAAAGTTACTCGTTTGCCTTCCTTGACCCAGAAAGCTCACCAGCGCGCTGGTGGCATCTTGCATCGTTAATGAGAATCAAAAGTTTCGAGGTGAGCGGAAGAGAAAGTCGATGTTGCACCTGTTGGTATTGAAATTGCTCAGGTACCGACAGGTTCAAGGTGGGTAAGTTTCAGTCCAAGTTCAAGCAGATGGCGAAACTGTTCCGAACCATAGCAAGCCCGAATCAAGTGAATTAAAGCGTCTTCGACCTCAAGAAGAATTCTGTGTTCCGTGTTCTTCCATTGGCTTGTTTGAAATAGTTTTCGGGCAATTGCTTTAAGGTTCTGAAGACGAAATATTAATACAAAGCTACAAAACGAATCAGCATAATTAGCCCCAACAAACGTTTGGAAAAATCTAAACTCTTCACACATTCTATGCTCCAACTTCGTTAATACTCTTTTCCAGAATCGTTTTGCAAATCCCAAGTTTAAAAGCGATTTGTCGATTTAAATATCTACCTTAGTGCTGCTTAAAGAAAGCACTGATCTAAGCCAGCTGACTTTAATGTCCCTTAGGCTATCTGTTCTTTGAGCCACTAGATAAGCTGTATTGATGCAAATTCTGGTTTGAAATAAAGTTTATTATCGAAAAGTGAATTTCCCACGAGTTCGTGATGGAAATCCATCGTGAAGAAAGTTTGCGTGTTTCGCCTAACCTAATGAACTCTACGTGGGATGCATTGAGGATTTCCACATTCCGAAGAACTTTCTTAATTTCGAGTGTGAAGGATCCATAAACACTGAACTTGAAGCTGTTAGTTGCGGATAAAGTGAGACGTCGTAAAGGGGAAATGCGAACCATCCGTAATGGTAGTAAACATTTGATGTGATTGTGGGTGTTCAAAAATGTAGAGTTTTCCAAGCAGATAATATTCAAATCGTCTAAAGGAAAAAACTTTGTTCTTACCTTGCTTACTAACAGCGCCTTTCCAACCAGTATAACCAGAGCCTTGAAAGCCAGAGCTTTGAGAAGACCAATTTTCATAACGACGGCAGCAATTATTGCATTCATGTTGCCTCCCTGGTCCTTCTTCTTACGCCCTTCTTCAGTGGCACCTTCAACTGGACGCAACGAAAAGCCCAAGTTTAGTCCTCCGTCTTTGTCGCTTCCTCCCGAAATTACCACATCAGCTCCATCAGTCACCTAAAATACATTAATAAAACTCGTAGGAAATTACACATCCTGATTAACATTCATTAAATTAAGCTTGATTATAATTTTGCCTTTGTATGGAACCAAATAAATTTGCCCAGGAAGCGCCTAGACGATAGCGATCTACTCGTAAATTGTAATCTAAAAAAATGAACATTTAGTTTAGTAGAGCATTGATAAGTCGGCACGGGAAGGAAGGGTAATCTACTAACGACGAAGACAATAGAATGAGCGTAAGCACTTAAGGAAAGATACAATTTGTGTATGCGTAATTACCAGTGCGTTGTGAGAGTTACCTTTGCCCTGGTTAAAAAAATTTTGGTCTAAAAGCGATAATTTAACTTTTAATTGTGTTTGTGAATGTAAAAGCAACACTTAACAACTTCTGCAAATTTTGCCATGTAAAATTTGTAATTTTCCGATTCAATTTCTAAAGCAGCATTTTCCACCCAACTGTAAAATACCGAAATTACCGATAATCCAATGCGTCCAGACCTGACGGGCCGAGCCCGAGCCGAGCTTGCCCCATGCCAAAATTTATTTTGTATAAAAATGTATTATTTAATTAATTTACGTTTCGTCACATTCCGTGAAAACACCGGCAAACGATCTATTTTCTGTCGGTGTTTTCACGGAATATCAAAGAAATTCGCATCGGCTCAGGCTCGGCTCGTTCAAGACTTGACGCTCCATTAGGGCTAAAAAGAAATTTCATTGAAAGCCACGAAAAAAAATTGTTTCAAAAGTTTTCCTTGGCACGTTTCTCAGTTTCAGCCAAGAAGAAGCATATCGATTTCACAAAATCGTTCAACTTACATGCCATTTCATGGATCTAGTGCGTACAAAATTGTACAACTTGTCCCCAATCACTTGGCTTAGTTGAGCCTCTTCAGACATTTTCTCTACATCTTTCAGACTTCGCGAAGTTTCCACTGTGGGGGCTTCGGTAGAAGATTGCGTGATTTCCACATCGCCAAGCTCAATCTGCGACTTCTTCAACATTCGGTTGAAATAAGTCACCAGCTTCAGCATCATGCAGGAGGAAATGTCGTGATTTGCACATTTGCTGTTCAGTTTCTTTAACAGGGATTCTTCAATGGTTGGCTCATTTGAGTGGACCTGGAAACAGAAGGTTTAATTAAAAAATTGTTGATTAACTATTGGCTTTTCTTTGCTATGTGCATTAAATTGCATTTTGGTTCATTTTTGTTTATTTCCGCGTTGGTGAACACCGCGCTTACCGATGATAAGGTAAGTTTTTAAATAATTCATCGGAAATGGCCTTTGGGAAAAGTTGGCAACACGTGGCCGATAGAGCTTTAATTTAAACAAATACGGCAAGCTTTCAGCCAAGTAAATGCATTTTTCCTTTCATACTATGCAGATTGCCGTATTTTCAAATTTACACTTTTGATTAATGTAATGATCCTAAAGATGATTGATAATAATGGACTATCCTAGAATGCTGGTAATGTACAGCACATTTTCACCTGGGCACTGTTCCTTTTTGTCAAATGAAATACGACCCCATTTATCCGGACCTGAGTGAGATATAATTGATATTTATCGAACAACTAATGGTCTAATAAAACTCGCAGCAAAATCGGGAAGAATTGAATTCCTAAACAATCTAAGGGAGCGATTTAACGGAAATTGGTTTTCTTTGCTGCACGACAGCCCTTATATTAGTCGACAATCCACGAAGATTCGTTGGTTTTTAATCGAATTAATCACCCACTTGATAAAGCTCGGTGTGTCCACACAAGGAGCTCGATGAATCAATAAAACAAAATTGTACGCAATTAATTTAATTTGCTCAAGACGTAACTGGAGGCATTAAATCTCGGAGAAAGCTACCGCCTGATTTCATCGCAAAATGCCCTGAAATTGTTCGGTAATAAATTAATGCAACAACATCTAATGCAATTATGCAATGTAAACATGCCACAATTATTAACGGTAAATGGAAGCACATAATGGGATTATTAGTTGATACCATATTTACTCTGCAGATTTTCGGATTAACTTTTAAACATCTGAATGTGTTGCACATTCCAACACATTAATTAAAATAACAAAGATATAGCTTAGATAGCAAATAATTTTTGGAAGTTTGGAACTCAACAATCCAAAAATTAGCTAAAAACTTACGGAATTCACATGGGCAGTTTGATGTTCATCCACCACCGGTCCTGCAGCTATAACAGCAAAAGAAACAGCAAAAACCGCACAAAGCACTGCCCACTTCATATCGTCTTTGTTTTTTTAATGAATTAATCAACAAATTAGAAATATCTACTTTGAGATTTGTTTATAAATGGAGCTGATGCTAGCACATGACCAAAGTAGCAAATAAAATGAAGACTCAAAAAGAAGTGGGAACATTTTATACGATCCGTAAGAAACGCCACCAGTAATGAGGAAGTGTGTCGTATGGACCAGCTGAAGGAATTAGAGTCATGAAGAAGAAATGCAGAGGTTGAGAAACACGGCGTACGGATTGGTCGAGACCGTGGTTGTTGCTTGATTTGGTCGATTGCATTTTACTGCCCCGTGAGAATTTTCTGGGGGAAAATTGGTATAACGACAGTGAAATTTTCACTGCTTAGGAGGTCAATTAGGGTTTCTTGGTTGCGTTTACATCAGCTAAATCATTCTTATGCCCACCAGAAATTTGAGAACGCCCTAAAGCAATTACCTGATGCTTGATATAAACCATTTACAATTGATATTGAATGGGCTATTTTTTGAAAATCACACTATTGTAGTGCTTTAAGTCTGTTTTTCAACATTTTTGAAAATCTGCAATTCTTGCTGTTCTTTAAAAAATGATCGGTGTAAATCCACCTCACTGAAATGACTATCTTTAAATTCATGCCATTCTTTGCCGACACGAAACCTCTATGATAATGAAGTAAAAGTGAAGAATGGCATTTGCAATTTGATCTTCGCTGTAAAAACCATTACAGCTGTGTTTATTTTTTACTTTACTTCGAATATAATTAGGAGGATTGCAGTTAAAATGTGCTAATCAGCTGAGTAATCAAAATTCAAAAATGGATAGCCGATGGAGCTTTATTCAGAGCCTTTTGCAAATTTGCCAAAAGCCTTATAACAAAACGACTCTTTTATTCTTTCCCAACTTGAGGGTATTTGGAATATAGTCAAACAAAATTTAGAAAAATGTGCAAAGTAACAAAGTTAACCAGTTTAAAAAATACCCGTTGGAATTATGAAATTACAAAGAAATTTTTATACACTGGGGTATTTTTGGACTTTACTTACAAGGGGTTCTTATTCAGCTCGAAGCTACCCAACGTTTTTCTGGATGTAGTGTAAGCCTTCGAGGGCTTGTGGAATAAAAGTTTGATGAATAAGCTTATGCATATTGGCAGTAATGTGAGTGAGAAGTTACACTTGGAAGCGTTATTTTCCACAGTTTAATTGACGACAAATGTAAGCGCTGCTCTGATAATTTTCAAAAATCATCCACAGCAAATGTATGAAGATTTTTTGCACAGTTCAAGACCATAAAATTTTTGAGCACGAAACTGAAACCCCAATTTTAAAAAATTGTTAATAACTGCAAAACCAACATGCAAATCGACAGGAAAATCACGAACGAAAGTGAAGCACGATTTCTCATAAAATTTTTAAACTTCGAAAGCCATTAATAAAGTGCACGTTTAACACTTTCATTTCTATTGATATCTGACAGCTGACCAGAAATTTTAAACGGCTAAATAAACCATTAGACAATGAGATGGCAATTAAAACTATTTTGTGGCTGTTAAAAACTACTGATTCGGAAATTCAAAGTAATCGAAACCACAATAGTTTAATGCTCATTCAATTTCGACTCCATTTGGTTGTTTATATCGGTTATTGTTTGGTTCCAGTTGGTGCCTCTGAGTTTGGATTAATTCTATTGCCTTACAAGAGTAATTTTGGTTTATTTTATTAGCAACTGAGCAAAATTGAGCATTGGAATATAAAGGAACTTTTAGGAAATTGTTTGTGTGCTGAAATGCACTAAACTGAATGCATTGTTTTCGCTAATCAATAAAGATGCAGTGAAGCCATGTGAATAAGCACAAAAACGAGATCTTGAAAATTACAGGAAAAATATGTGAATCAATTAATGGAAGTTTGTAGGAATTTACTAAAACCCAGCTAAATGACCGACAACAAGGTTTTATTTATTTGGTTATTAATTGTTTCAAGAAGTAAAATAGGCGAAAATAAAACATTCATTGCTTTTGCTACCTAAATATATCATGGTCATGAATTAGTTGGCGAGATTAACTTCTCACGCTTTCCTATAAAAGCTTTCTTATCTTCCATTCAAAGAACAACATGCTTTTTATAAGTAACGTGTGAATAATTTCACAATTTTTTTAAACCAGTAAACCAGAGTTATGCAGCTTTAAATCTTCGTTTACATTTTTTCTTGCCCTCTTAATTTCGACAGCTTGCAAATAAAAAATAATTCGAGATATCCTTATTAATCTCATTCGTTTTGGTGAAATACTGTTTCAGAATCCTATTTAAGTGAAGTTAACAAAATATTCATGCTTATTAGGTCAATGGCAAAACAGAAGACCGCCAACGAAATAAAAATTAATATCAATACACGGCAGATTCGCTAGTACCAAAATATCTACTAGACAATTTTCTAAAAATCTGGGACAGTGAATTAATTTTTGGAACAGACGTGTTAAAGAATCAACACGTCTCAGTGTGGCCGTAGAAGCTGATTTGTTGGAATGTCTATGACTAGAGTCTATAGGTGTGCCCGTCTCCAGCTAAACATGTAGCATATTTTTACGAAAACCTAAATAGCGAAAGGTTTGCAACGACAATATTCGCAAAATTCCTAGAATCCAAGCCGAATACGGTTTTCAACGTCTTTCACCTCCAATATTGCCGTCCACCGAGTGAAAACTTCTTCTTTTCTCTGCTTAAGGGAGACACTTTTTCCACAAGGTGACCGCTTCGAGATACTTTGGCGAGAGAACAACATTCCTATTCTGGAAATCAGAGTTTCTGTTTCGTTTATATGGGTTTTCAGTAGTGCAAGCGTAAATCTTATTAAATAACTGTGTAGGAAATCTTTCAGGACACAATTTCGTTTCACACTGTGGCATTTTACTTAAGGAAGAAGTGAAAACAACCAGTTTTGTTACTTTTAGAAAACGAAGCTCACTGAACTAGTCAAGAAATATATATATATTTTATTTATGGCAAACTTTCTGGATGCTATTGTTAGCAAGGAATTTTTTTTGATTAGACAATTGTTTATGATTTTATTTTGCTGGTTGATACAGGAAAAAACATACGATCTACAATGCTAAAATATGCTTTATTAGAATAAACTGCAAAAGAAGCACAACATAAAATGTTGTACAAAACAGGAGGACTGATTTCAGGATTGACCAGAAGTTTAATGGATTTATCGGTAATACGCTCTCATACTATTTACCAAGCCTCAACAAATAACAACATTAAAGAGCATTCTTGACCTTCTTTAAGCGCAAAACAACACCGATCTGAAGTAAAGGTCAAAATTTCACTACGGCCATCTGATGAACTATCTAAACCTGTATTCGCTATTTGCTCCTTGGATCTGCCGCTGAAATTAACTTTATATACGCATAAAAATTGACAAATATTCCAATATGTCGAAGACTGAACTGAAGATAATTTCCTTCAGATTTTCATGTTTAGATGCAAGTTTTGGGTGTCCGTTATGATAAAAATAAATGGGGAAGGAATATTTCTGCATGCGGGCAATATTTGCAAGTTTGAACAAAAAAATTAGGCATTTTTCAATAATTTCCTACCAGTGCTTAATAGAAACATTTAAATTCAACAATTTTAATTTCGGTTATATTTCTGTCGCAGACCTCCCGAAACTTTTATAATTAAAATCCAAAAAAGAGAATACATATAAGAAAACCCAATATGCAAATATCAAAAACCAATCAGCCTATTCAAACAAAGAAAGCCTACAGTAGTTAATGATATCTATATTTAGACAGATTCTCTCATTTGCAAGTTTACTGTGTAAATAGCACTTGAAGAGGACCAGTTTGCTGCGTCTTAAGCAGATGGAACCAGAAGCGCTCCGTAACCTCTGAGTGAAACATTTAGCATCTTCCAAATTGGTAAATATTAAACGCTCTGGGAAAATGTTAATATTCATCCATTAGTTAATGGGTCACTAAAGCTCATATTTTGGGTAGAATAGGTGTTGTAGTCGTAATGGATTTTGCGAAAATGACGGTAATAAAGTCCCCGCTTGATTTATATTGCCGTAAATTTTCAGTGCCCGGGTAACTTTTCTATTTGGATCTATCTATTGATCTAGAAGATATAGAAAACTTTGTTTTTTTGTAAAACATCCAATTTGGCAAAACTTAAATTAATTTAATCCCGACAGCTTACCAAACTAGAAAAGCCCCGGCTGCTTTCAGTGCGAAGCCATCCGACCAGTTATCGAGCGCGAAGTAATTTGTATAAGTGAAATAAAAACAATAGTAATTTCTGGTGTTCGCCATTATAATTCCATATATTCTTTCCAGGTTAATGTGTGAGCTGGCTGCATCACACATGGTACTCTACCGGAGATAATATTTTTACTCTTAGAGATTTCTCCGACCTTACATTTATAGCAATTAGGAAGATTAAACGCAGCTTCTACGCGTACAATTTTTATATAAGTGGTATGAATAATAAATTTGTAACGGATATTCTTTAATCGAAGACTTGACCCAACGAGTTGCAACCGAACGAAACTAATTAGAGAAGTTGTTAACTTGGAAAGTTGTAAAATGACCATTCGCAATTCCTCCTGCAAATGGAAACTCCCGCAAATCATTTCAATAACAAATTAATCAAAATATTTCATTGCGAATTAACAACTTCAGCGCCCAATAACGCAGTCGAAACATTGTGGTTAAATCAAGACGGATTTATGAAATATTATTGATGTTTCGGTTTCCGATCGCCGAGCAAAACACGCCAGATTAGTGAAACGGTGGCTTTAATTTTAGTTGAATTGCCACAGGACGAAGGCAGCTTCAAATTTAATTAAATCATGCCTTAAATCAAGGTGGATCGCGATAATTCAGGAAACGTAAGTATAATTACTAATCAAACTCTTCTGGACATTTAGGAAGACATGATAAGCAGACATAGTCGACTAAAGCTGCAATTGCAGCTACTAAACTGAACATTGCCTGCTCGAGCATTCTCTCCGAGTTTCAAAGAACGACTCTTTTCATAAAATGGATGAGATATTTAAATTGCTGCTTTATAAACTTCTACTACAAAATTATATATTTCATTACAGTTACAATTTGATTTATTTCAATTATATACACCTAAATAAATACTACGTTACTAGCAACGTTTACAATAAGCAAATATAAATAAACAACTTACGAAACAACATTACTTAACTTATATCACATAACAAGTACTTTTTCATCACTTTCCATCGCCTACGAGTCGGGTAGAATCGATTTTTTCGACACATTTTCGGGCTCAGCTTGGATGTCCTTTCCAGAGTTTCTATACTGCCCGTTCCATCCATTGTAAGCCAACTGTTGGGCTGCGTTTTCATCCCGGAAACTAAATCCGGTTTCATGGTGGCCTGGGTATTCTTCATGGTACGACTGGGGTTGCACAAAGCTCGGTTGTTCACTGAAAAAATACAACAGCACATTTTTGAAATCCACATTGGACATTTTCAAGATTAAACCGTCTTTTAGTCGCGTTTTAAAGAAGCAACGAATTGGGGTAAAACATACAAATAACTGCAGTTTTCTTACCGATAATGTTGAGCAGGTTGAGCATATGCAATTCCGGCAGAGGAATAATGCGGTCCTGCAAAGTGGCTGGGGCCAAAGCTGGACTGCATGTTGGGTTTGCAGAATTTAAAGTAAGCGATCAGTCCTGAAACAGAGTTTCCTTTTACTGCTCTGATATATCAAATTGCTTCCGAAACCCTCCGAGAAGACAATGCGATTTATATTGCATGACCTTTCTCGGAAATGTCGCCCAGGGTTTGTTTTTAAATTGCATATAGAAAAAGGCAAACATTTTACCTGGCACCAAAATGGCGAAGAATCCCAATAATTTTTTAAACGATGCAAGTCCCAGAATTAGGGGCAAGAAAAGTAAAAGCTTCAACTTGAATAGCTTCAGGATTAGAAGCATGGGGATGAAGAGTTTCTTCAGTTGCTTCCTCTCTGAAAACAAAACATTATTTTGTCAAAAAATCTCTAATTTATCTGCTTATTGCAAACGTAAAAATTTTCTCAAGAAGAACATTGTAATGACGGCCTGCAAAAATATTTTTATATGCGTTGTTGCTTGATGTAGTTGACGTCTATTGTGTCCCCTAAGTGTCGCTTTACGGTATTAACCAGGAGAAAAATACGTCGAAGTTACTAAAACGCTTTTCTTGTTAAATAATATTGAATTTATGGACGATTTTCGTGGCATTTCTGCCTGGGCATGAAGTGTGAAAATCGTCCAAGTTGTGGGCGGAATTTGTTGGATTTTCTAAGTTGAAGATTAAAAATATTACGCCTCCCAGTTTATATTATCCTAAACGTGAAACAATGACCGAATAATGTATCTATTGTAGATGCCGAAATTTGCTAATTTAGGTGATAAGGTATTGAAGAATCAATGTCGTTCTCCAAATCCAGTTACTCAATTTGCAATAACTTTATCAACTATTACAATAGATTATTAATTTTTATTTTAACTAAAATGTGCAACGGAAAGGCGAATGTTCATAACTAAATGTTGCAGCTAATTTTTCAATTGTAGCCTTTCTCATGCAATTCATCAAATTAATAACGACATTATAGCTCATTTAATTTGGTAGGAAATGAGACAGAAAATTTACTATATAAAATACTTACTGAAAATTGAATCTTTTTTGTCCTCAATTACGTCCATTTCGTCAGCAATTTCATCAATAAAACGTGGTTCATATTTTCCTCTTTCCGTAACTTCGTTATCAAAGTCTACTTCAATGGCAGTGGACTTTAAAAATTTCTCAACCTAACAGAAGAAAATAGATCTCAATTATGGCGCCAATAACACGATGCTCATAAATTTGCATCTGTTAAAACCTTAAATGTTTACAGAACTGTTTAGGAGTTGTTAGTAATTGCATATTTAGCAAGTTTTTACCTAAAAGTTTGACTTTGGATTGAAATATGATCTGGAAAGCGAGAGCTTCGTCTGAAAGCCTGCTCAGAATTATTTGTAGTTAGCACCTAGACAGTAAATTTTTAAAGAACATAACATGCTGACTATATGATAATAAAACGCGGTCTCAGATCGTTAAACAAGACTGAAAACATGTTGAAATTGATTGGCAGGTGAAAGACTCACTAAAAAATTTGTTGCAAAACCGGGTTTAATATTGAAATTACTACAATGTAGGCAAAATTTATCTATCACTTTTTTGTACAAATAACCATTTGAATGATAGATATTGCTCCAAGGATTTCGTTCTTACCTTGCGCATTCCAAATTTGACCAACGAATCCCATTCAGAGTCTTCTGATCGGGGAGATGAGGAGTATTCATAAGTTTCTTGTCCAAGGGATCGCAAATGCTGTTCTGGTAGTCTTAAAACTCTGGCTTTTTCCGTTAGAACGTATGCAGGCTGAAACCATTTCATTTTTAATTTGCATATATCATAAAAAAAATCAAAACGAGACTTTCTTGATGCCAAAAGGAAAATTTCCAAGCACCCAGTTTCTTATTTAATAACAAAATTATTAAATTGAACACTCATTGGACTGTTACTTGAAAATGTTAAATTACTCTTTCTCGGTTCTCTTTTGTTAAGTCAGTTTACTGTTTGGTCAAAAATCGTTTTGACTCATAGCTTTATTACTAATTTCATCTTCTTTTCTTCCAGTTTTTCTGACTGCTTCATTTAAATTATTTTTCAATCTGCAGATTGCACCTCAAGAAATTTCCTTTTAACATTCTCTCTTCTCAAGTTTTCTCGTGAACTGTCGTTAAAATAAGCCGCCGTTGGAGCAGGTTTTTGTAATAACAAACAGCTTATGTTTTCGACCGGTGCTTTGGAGAATAGACCCAGAAATTTCGAGGAAAAACGATCAACATAAATAGCGCTTATTTCTCCATTCAATACAAACGCAAAATACTGATCTGCTTAGTTAACTTCTATATTCACCTGGTTGAAAAAGTCGTCAAGTGATGCCAATGCCCTGCTCTGAAAGCAGGACGCCAAATCGCCATTCAAACATTGTGCGTTTGTTTGCGATAAATACGGATCCTGATCAGGACCAGTGCCCAAACCAATCCAGTCGAGAAGATTTCTTCCTAAAATCAAAACCGATTCTTAAAAATAGCCCCTGAATTTCCAGCATTTCGTTTGCTTTGATTGAGTGCGATTTTCGCGCAAAATACACTTAGCACTGAAGATCTACCAGTCGAATGCCGGCTGGCAGAGCAGACTTGGTGTATCTTGACCTATACATACCTTGTCTTCCATCTTGCGCCTCTGGAGGCACAAAATTCTGCTGATTTTGGCCTTGCAGGGCAACCAGCGTCACTGATGAGAACAGAAAGAGCCATTTGGCAAGCGAAAACATTTTTATGAAGACAATTGGTGCAGACGAGTGAAAATATTTGATTAGGTCAGATAACGGTGCTCTACTGCCTACACTACGTGAAGATATTCGCACTTACACTAGCCCGATTTTAAATCAACGTACTGCAAGCGCTAGGGATAAAGTTTTTCCGATTGCGGGAGTTTCGCTTCCATTAAACGATAATGGAGCAAATGCGTTTAGCAGAAGAAGCAAAACTTGATTAAGGAACGTGAAAACGTAATAAGTGTTATATATGGGTAGTGTGGGGGACCTTAATGTTGAAAATTATGTCTTGGGATGCCCGCCTTATGTAACGGCTTGCAGAAACGTGGGGTTTGCCCAGGAGAAAGTAATTGTTGTTACCGAATAGTTTAGTCATAACCTTGTTATTGTTTTGAGTGTATGCAACCCGGACCTGCCGGTTTGTAATTTTAGTAAATTCTTATAGTATTGCATCCAAGCAATTGAACGGCACAAACGCAGCTAAAAGATGCGAATTTTGGCTTAAAATATTTTCAGATTTTGCAGATGGAGCTTAAAGTAATCAGCAGCAAGTGAATGAATCTCCACTAACCAAACTCTCTTTACAGGTTCAATTCATCCGGACGCCCAATGAATTTTTTTTCATGTACCAAGACAATTTCCTGTTGTTTTGCTTTTTTCATTCGCACTTTTTGATCATATTTAACATTTATTTAATTTTTACCAAATTTTACATTGTTTTAATTTAATACTTTATATTTTCATCGACTGCTCTCTCTTATTCTTTATGAAATTCCTGCAATATCGCCTACTAGAAGCTTCTCTTCCAGACTATAAAAGGCACCTTTTGTCTCCTTTAGAAGTTTTAATGAAAAATATTGTAATTTTTATTGTCGCTTCTTCTCCTTGGTGGAAATATTCAGAAAATTATCCCAGAAGTCGTAAATGTTTTCGCTACAACGGCAACGTATTTGGATTCCGTTCTTATCCTCCGACCAAAAATAGTAGCAATTTTTATGATATTTTACTGTTATTTGCTTTTAAGGTTTGATGGTAATTTTGTAATATTCCTTTTCTCCGAATTATGTTTTTCCTTTATTAGTATTCTGTATTTTCCGTTCTTCTTCATACTGGTGATTTACATTTTGAGTAGTTCATCCAGGCTGATGATTTTAATCTGTTTTTTGGAAACTCTTTAAGTTACATCGAGATTTTTATCATTATCGTTGACACGCTCCAGTTACTTCTGCTTCATCTGCTATTTTTTGACTGATTAAAGTATAGTTGTTTGGTGATTATTTATTTGTATCACCATTTTTACTAAAACGTTTACAATCAGTTTTTGATTTCTATTGGTCGGCTGTTCCGACACAATTTCTCTTCGATTGTACTTTTATTGCCTTCTTATTATCTATTATAATTTGTTTCGTATTTTCTTGATATTAGGGCTTTAATATATAGAAAGTGTCCTTTTGTACCTTTATATTAATGACTTGATTGCCTCAGAAACTATTCTTCACTGTTTATCTGCTTTGTTGATTTTCCGCGTTCCTGCTCTTATTAATATTAATGTTTCAGAGAAAACCCAAATTTGCATGTTTATGTTTCAGCTCAATTGACTTCAATGTTCGAGAATAATACCAATACAGCGTCAACGTAATGAAGAGCCATTAATTGGCATACATTATCGAATGAGAGTTGGATAGTTTACTTCATAGGAAGCTTTGGGAGTCCCACTTCACAAGCTATTATTCCAAGACCATTTGGATAATAGTGAAAACACTATTAAACAGCATTACAACTTGTTATGTCTTCAATTAAAATTCAGTGTTTAAGTGACATTTTTAGCTTCATTTTCAAATTCTTTTTAGTGGACTTCGAGTTCAAAGACTTTTAAAATTGTTGCTTTGTATATATTCTACAGTTACATAACAGACTTTGTCATGGTGGTTACCACTCTTATTTGGCTCTTGAAGAAAGCGATTGCAAGAAATGCTGGCGGAGTATGGTGTAAATTAGTACTGTATGGTAAATGGGTGTACTTTGAAGTGTACAAAGCAGTTGATTATAAGCGAGCTGTTAAAATTATGTCATCAATTTGAAAATTTCTGTCCCAAGCTGAAATAGCGCAAAAACGCACATAAAAAGGCCATTAGTTCTCATAAAGGAACAAGCCTGCTCATTATTCGTGCCAACCCCAAAATTGCCCTCGAATTTCGCTCTCGGTTCACTCATTAGTGCCTAATTCCCCTGTTGGTTTTATAGCGCATAGCAATGTAAAGTTTGGAATCATCTCTTCAGGTCACTCTCAATTGTCTCTGGCCCAGACTGAAATAAAAGAAAATCACACATAATGTTTTGCTTCTCCGTCGTTTTTTTTCTTCACATAAATCCAAACTTACCGTTTCATCTTTAACATAAACATATACAGAGATCTAGAGTATTTTACATGAATATTTCAACCGTAATAGCCTGAAAGCCGGATGTTCCAACCTGCTCCAACATCCCCTGAATTGGGAGAAAGTCGGAGAACGGATGAATCAAGATCCTGTTCTGAAAGTGCAGAAAAGCGCGCGTTTTATTGTTTATTGATACATCATTAAGCAATATTGGGCACTGTGAAAAAGTCAATTTAGCTGATGAATTCATTATGAGTTGTCGTAATTAATATTAAAACTTCCAAGAGATCGCATGAAAACTTATTTGTAAAATTCTTCAATATAGTTTAATGCAAAACTCTGGCTTTCTTTGCGTAAAATTCACTACGAAATCCTCACCAGACGCACTTTAGTAAAATCTCACATTTAGCCGTAAAAAACGAGAATTTCTTTTCAGGTGACACAAAATGACAAATTTGTTTTTCTCTGGAAAAACTGATCCCATTTTCCAGGGGCTCCAGACCGAATACCTAAAATATTCAATGCAAGTCTCTTATAAAACACCTGTATCGATCGAACGGATATGTTTGTTATTTCAGGTTTGTCGGCGAACGATTTTAACGCAGAATTCCACTGGAGATAAATACGTGGCAAATTGCCTCCAAAGCCGATTTTTCACTACTTACCCATTCTATTGAGGTTTGGAAGTCGTTTCGTTTGGGAACAGCTTTGAATGTTGATATTGGCATTTTGACAATATTTTGCAAACATCTAAACCTGTCGAGATCAGAAGTTCAAGTCGTAGAAAGCAATGGGTGTGGATTAAATGAAAATTCCAATATTTGCACCATTGACTATATACACATTTGTTCGCATACAGTGAAAAGTTGCTAAATGAATTGAATAAATAATAGTTGTGCCAGTAAAGTTAGTGGAGAACGATTCCAGTCAGAATGAATCAAAGTGGCAAATTTTGATCTCATTCGAGTGGGCTTCTGAGCACTGACGAATTCGAGTATCTCTGTTTTAATAGAAAAGCTTTGAAAAATTTTCCTTACGTCGTTTAAAGAAACAGAACAGGCGAAAATCTTTGAAATTACTTAACGAACATTCCATGTGAGCCCTCAAAAAATCAGAGTTCTGCTCAAAAATCCGTCAGTGCAAATTAAACAATTAAACTAGATTGAAACCAAATTGAAACGCCATCTTACAAAGCTCGCATTTTCTGAAACTAAAGAAAACATCTTTCGAAATTCAGACTAACATCTTCTACGTGTTCCTTAAATTAGAGCTTTAAAATAAATAAATATTTAAATAAACTGCTATTTGAGAGTCGCTCAAGCAGTAGCATTGTGTTCTATTGTCTACAGTTTTTCGCCCCAAAATAAAAAAATGACTTAGTTCTGAAGTTTTCTTGCTTGCACCAATTTGTTGATCTCGTTGTATGTTGTAAGCAAAGCTGGACTAGCTTTATTTGCGCTCAATGATGGGCATCCTCCATGCTCCAAACATTCTTCGCCATCTTGACCATCTTTGGCTGCTTTCATGTACTTGAAGAACCTGAGAATGTCCGGATTATCAGACGCGGGCTTTCGAAGCTCGTTCAGCTCCCTGGAATAAACCAAAATCAATACTGGCTATTAAAAAAATATGCGAAATACTAAACAATGTATATTTCCAAGTGCTTTAAACAGTTATTTGGGTATATATATAAATATATATATATATGTATATCTCAACAACTTAGCATTAAAGCTCTCGAATATTCTGCTACTTCTGCAAGTTTCCTCCCATATATTTGATGTTATATCCTAGAAGTTATTGGCAATGTTCTTAGATATAATTTCTCCAATGCCAAAGTGGGACATTCATTCACGTCAGAGTTTCTCGAGTCCAGTTGTTCACTTCGCAAAGAAACAGTCGTTACGCTGTCCGAGGCTTATAAAGTTTGATATCACCAATAATAGCTAGTATTTAGCGAGTCTCTAATTACGTCCAACTTACTCTAGGAAAGCCAAGGGAAAGTTAGTAAGTTCCTGGAGGAAGCTTCCTACCGTACAAATTTGACCAATTTGCTTCAAACGTGCTTAGTTCAAATTAATTGGCGTTATTCGAGAATTAAAATTACTCTATGAGCAAAGTCAACAGCTGAATAGTATATAGCTTCCTCAAACTTTGGGCAGTTTTTTATGGAAACCTAATTTTAAAGCTGAACTGATCGGTTCTCGAATAAAGCACCCAATTAAACAAATACAATTTTAATAAAGTTTCCTGAGCACTTCTAGCGTTTTTGAACACGTGTATTCATTAGTGCAACGTGCTATAAATTCAATATATACCGAACCAGTAAAGAAACAAACCATTATTAAAGTATTTTGCCTGCTCCCACCTGCTTCTGACTTATTAGAGAAAATAGTGATTATGAAAAGTTTAAATAGCAAAGCGGAGAGTGGTGTTTTGATGACAAAATTTCCATACCTTTTCGTTTTACCCACGGCAGTTAATTGGCGATTGAAAATTGTCATCTGCAGGACTTTTGCATGTCAGCAACATGCTTAGTTATTTCCCGCCACTATTATTTAGGGTTTGCCAAACCAACTAAAGGTTTCGCTTTTTCAGTGCATTGCTCATTCCGCCCAGCCACTTGAGGGTGAAAGAAATTTTTCGTAAAAATTCTAGCTCCTTTCCCTAGCTTATTTATTTTAATTCAAAGAGAAAAAAGCTCTATTTCTGTATGTTCCAAGCCATTGGCACACAACGAGCTTATTTAAAGTGGAAAACCAGTTAAAAAGGTGAAATACTTGTCTTTATAGTCTTTACACACGCGTCCGGGCATTTAAATTCGTTTGGAATATATCAGTGTCTGCCACTTAGAATCTCTGAAACATAACTAATAGCCTCCCATCACATATCTCCAGGGACAACAGGGAAAATTCGACCTCCAGATAAATCCTTTTCTGGAAACGCTTATAAATTTGGTATTCATAGAAGGCTGATCAGAGAATTAGATTAGAGCTGACAAAATGCCTACAGAAAAAAGGAAATGAATAATGAAATAAGGCTAAAACGTTGCCTATTACGGCGGGGGCTTTCTCTATTTACTGCTCGTTCAGATGGCATTAAATTAATATGAAAAGAGTGGAAGATCACTGTGTTTCGACTAGATCGCGAATTATAAAAGCTTTTAGAGGAAAATTTAGGAGCCTATCCATTTGCTTGGATGCTACCAAATTAGTTGTAAAATTTAAGAGTTAATTTCCAGTTGGTTTGTTTAGCATTCTGGGAAAGATTTTAGAGTGTCATCAGAACACTTGGAAGCAGTTTCTGTTAAAGATTTCCAACTTCCGCATTAACATGATAGGCATTGTTGACAGAAACGATAAGTTTTGAAAATCATTAATCATGGGTTTACCTGCTTAGCTGTGCAGAAACTAAATTGCTATAAGGAGCATATTTAGCCGGATTTGCATACATCATACACACAAGCCTTTCTCGGCACCGTTCGGTTTCCGGCGTTTTATCGCTGGTCAAACCCAATTGCTGGAAAACCGAATCCAGTCTGGATAAAAGCGGGCTGTAGAACGGATCGTAGCTGGTCAGTAAAAGGGATGACGAAGGAATCTTGTGGAACACTTTATAGTCCGTTTTCCTATGCGGTCTTCGGAAGTAGTAGTTATCGTTGATTTTCGGTTGGGAGTAGATTCGCTTATTTGCAAAATCAAACCTAAAATTTATAACAATTACTTAGACATTCTAACAAGGTTACATGGAGAAACTATCAATTTTCATAAGTTATCACTGTCCACTCCAATCTTTCAACCATGAAATAGCCTTACTCAGGTAACAAATCGAAGTCATCAAGATTTAATCTATCATTTTAAAAGCTTTCGGTCTTTTCAAGCTTCGATTAGCAACAAAATCGTTACAAATGTTACAATTGTATAGCATATGCACCAAAAAGCGATTTTCGGTTCACTAACTACTGTCTGGTACAGTTTTACAATCTAATTCTAGGAAGTCGTCTTTTTAATTTTTATAGTTGAGTTAAACAGACTGAAGCTATCAGAAGGTTGAAAATATACAATTTTTAAGCATTCAAATAGCATTGATTTCGGTAGAAAATTGATTGCAATATAATTGTACAACGAGTTTCAGATTTTAACAAAGTTCAAATGACAACCTTGAATGAATATGAGTGTTCCGTTCTTCTCAAACATCATCATCAGCTTTAGACAGTTTTTATTACTTTTTTGTCACTTTTGAAGGAGTTAGCATAGATGGGTTATATTTGATCTAGAATTTCCACAAGTTTCTAGCAAGCGAGCAATTGTTCTTTCGCAATAAAAATCTTAGTCCGTAGGTGTTTTTCAGTTTCTGTATAATAATGATATAAAATCACCACCATTCCTATTGTTGAATTCAACGAAGAGCAACTGCTGTTCGATGTTTTGCCTAACTTTCTGATAAAATCCGCTGACTGAAAATAAGATCACATATTTTCCTTCTCAAGCCCAGAGCATGTCAAAATGCAGAATTACATTTTTCTCAAAAACGAAGCAAGCCAATAGAAAGTGAAACAACCTTTGACTGAAAGAGTATATAATATTTCAATCAACGAATCGATTTAGTGAATTCGTCAACTGCAGGGTTTGTTTGCCTCACTTTCACCTGAAGAAAGTCTGAATCAACTGCAATTGATCAAGTAGATATATAGATAATAGTTTTTAAATAAAGTGTACAAGCTAATTAAAACCCTATTGTCTCAAAAACGACATTCTAGCAGGCATCTACTCATGTGAACGCTTTTTAATATGTTTTCTAAATAGAATATTGCGGACTCTGCCCTCGAAATCTTCAAAAACCTGTAGAGATTATCCAAATTATCCCAACTACCTCTCATTTGAAAATGGCTTCTGATTTATCAAGTATCATGCATTTTTCTGTAACTCTTAGTTAAACCTTAAAAAATAAATATATTCAGTTACCTGCTGTTAGGGGAAATGGTGCTGGAGCTTTCAATAGTATTAAGGGTTAAACTATCATGTTCGTCATCAAAATTGGCTCCCAGTGCTTCCTCATTATTGTACGGATCAGCGTCTTTGAATTCAAAGTCTTCCATTTCTTGAGGTGGCCGATTAATGCCTGCAAAATAAGTCGCTCATCTGATGAAAGTTGCTTTCAATTCAATCCATCAATTCCACACGTCTCTTAACCGTGTGATGGAAGAATGTGAAACAATTTAAAAGCCGCATTTATTCAGCGATAATTCTATAGACAACGATGAGATATATAAATATGGATTAATGTTTGTTTAAGGGAACTTTCCTTGATCGGAGGTTATTAGTCACGAAACTCAAAGGTTAATTAATAATTTAGCATAATTTATACCAGTTTAGTTAATTCATCAAGCACATTAACAACTTTTTTGCTTTTAACTAAAATTACCTGTTGACGCACTGGAGAGTCCCGAAAAAGTGGACAAACCTTTTCCAGCCAATTTTCCTAGTCCGCCCAAAATAGTTGGCAGAAACATGGCGATTAGAACCGATTTGACGATTTGGGCACCGATAAACACCGGCAACATCAGCTTTTTTAGAAAAAATGCCAAAATGCCCATTCCAAACCCAGCTAAAAAGGAGCTTTTAGCTGAAGTATCTGAAAATGTATTATTTGAATTAGTTTCATACTCGGTTCTAGTTAAATTTTCTGACAAAAAAACTTGCAAATGTTCCATGAAATTGTCGATAAATAAAGCTCTTGCCTGAATGTAAAAAGTTTCTTAATTAAGTAAATGGGAAATTGAAAAAGTTGAAAGTAACGATCTAAATCTTTCTTTTTAACTTAGTTGCTTCGGCGATATGAAGCGATATTTTGCATGTTGGAAAATAATTACTAGTTTCTTAGAAGCGATTTAAACGATACAGCTGACTTCCACCCTTAGAGCTAATTTATCAAAAAGCCATCTAAACTAGCAAATAAAGCTCCACATGTTTTACGAGAATCCCCGCCTTGCATGAGATAATTGCCTTAGTAATTTAGTGAATGCTTTCGCTAAACTCCATTAGTTTGGAGTATTTTGCCACGTGCTTCACCACCGGTAAAAGTGAAAGGACCGTACAGCCAAAATAGGGTTTTAATATAGTGTGTCTTTTGCCAATTAGTATATTAGTGAATCTAGGACTAAGTAAATTTACACGTGAACTGCCACCTAAAAGTTTCGGCAAAATTTCCGTTTAGCTGGAAGTTAAGGCACCTACTAACACATGCATTACTAAGTGGAAAATGAGGAAATTTAATTGCGAGACAAATTCAGTTAAAGGAAATTGTCGGTTTTCTAATGCAACGGAACGAATTGACTGTGTAAATTTTCTCACTGAGGATGTAAGAAAAAAGCTTCGCGTCGGATGTGCTCAAAAATGTTGCAATTAATAGATAAAGATTTCGTTATCTATCAGAGGCTAACACATTTCAAAATCTGCACCCACCCATGCCAATTTTCATGTGGTTGGTTTTATGACGAAAAATCATAATTTCTCAATTTACCTTTGCCTGTGCGGAATATCAAACGAGCTTCCCAAACTATATTTTAACAGAATTTCAATTTCTTAAGTAAGAAGGGCAGAAAATTGGATTTGAGCTGTAATGCACATAGAACTCAGGCCATTAGTAGATAAAACATGCATAGAGCTTTGCGTGAATTCTATGGGAAAGTTACATTTCAGCGACTCAAAAGAGCTGACTAGGAAACTTTCCTGAAATATGGGCAGTATATGGAGACTTATACGGCTAAAATTATCCACCTAAAAGTTTGTGGCTAGAAAGAAATTTTATAAAACTGTTTCAAGGGGTAATTGATTACTTTTGTTTGTAGCTCCATCTACAGACAGCTTCGATGATTTATTGCGAAATTAAAGTGTTAAGTATATAAAATGCTTACCAGTGCTAGAATTGCTGGAAGAAAAAAACCGAGCAGTTTCCCGCAAATCCACCGACAAAACGTGGCTTTCCGCATACTGATTGAACCGCTTCTTAACATAATCCTCTAAAGTTAATTCGGCTCTTCCACTAACACAGTTATTGCCATCACTTTCAGATGCTTTGGTGATGTTCTCAATCCTCTCCAATCCAACACCCGGTATAATGCTGACATCTTCAGCTCTTAACACTCGGTCCACGTAATTTTTTAATTCTCGGTCCAGAACACTTTCGTCTCTAACTTGGTTATTGCATGTTCGGGCAATTTTAGCGCACAATGAGATTAAAATGAGTTTTATCAAGACCAATTCACTTTTGCTGTTGTTCCGATACGTTCTCGGCATATTGATTGACTAGTATTCGGCTGAAGGGTCATTCCGGATTAAAAGTCTGAAACAAGAAAAGCTGACTAATGAACCAGAAACTTATTGGCCACTAGTTAGGAACTTTAGCTCAAAAGCCGTTGAAAATTTGCAGTTTTTCCATGGAGGGCTTTTATTGGAGATGATCTGAATCCTGATTTGACATGTTTTTCTTTATTGCTAAATCTGCATTGATTAGATAATTAGTGGGTTGTGTTTTTAGTTCTAGTGCAATTTTCAAAGTCTCCAGAAGCTTTTAACTGTGAGCTCCTTCGAAAACAAATAAATTTTCTTCTAGTGGGGACCCTATATATCTCCATTACTAGTCACAACTGGATGATGTGCAGATCAATATTTCGCCTCCAGTCTATTGTATTTTATTACCTTTTAATGTCATTTTTCAATATCTATGGCCCCCTGATGGATTATAAATATGTGAACGATACAACCGCATGAAAAATGCATTAGCTTATGACAGAGGATGTGGTTGTTCATCCTTGTGTGCATTGATTAGGAGATTTAATCTAAATATTTGCCATTAATTTACGAAAGGCCTGATTAAGCTGCAAATATTCCCAATTCAAATTGATAATTCACTAACATGATTTATAGGCACTAATGTATGGTGTACAGTCAAAAGCAGCTCAATTGTGGGCTATTACTCTGGCTGACAGAAATTAAAATCAGCGTACACGTTTTCCAAAATACATTGTATAAAATACTACATAAAATACTATTGCTCCTAGTAGAATAAAAAAAATAATCAAATTTTCAAAAGGGTGCAGAAAGCTGACGGAATTGTCTCAGTTCGTCATATAAAAGGCTTTGGGCAAGCTTCCAGCAACTAGCAATAAGCCCCCAACAGTTTTATATGCGCAATTAAAGTATCTGGACGAACTGCGGCATTTAATTAAAACCGTTAACATTTCCGGGGAATGTGTCGATGGGAAAACAAGGGGTAATCTATCTAACTAATTTGTTTTAGGATGCTATTACGTAGGATTAATTGTCACCAATTCCTACAAAGTTTCTTCTTATTTTTATTTCACTTAGAGGAGCTATGAAAATTAATTGAGCCCATTTAACCTGCTGTTTCGAATGACTAATAAAAGTTTATTCATTTACGTTTCAGAAGATTCAAAAGAAAAACGAGTTTTCTTGAACCTGAAAAGTGGTAAAAAGAAAATCTAATCGATATTTCGATTGTTCAACGTATTGATGTTTTTGCAGTGAAATGCAATCGGTGCAGATATTAATTACTACCGATCCCAACTGAGAATTCAATGTGTAATTCCAACTGTATGCAATTTAATAACTTTGATATGGTTCTAACACGTTGTGCGCCAGTAAAATTATAATCGAAAGTAATTTAAATTAATACTCGTATACCTTTCATGACGCAGAGGCTGTTATAGAATGTGTTCCAGTTTCTACATGGTATTCGTGTCAGCCAGAAGAGAAATTTGGCTGTTTTATTAGTGAAGATAAACGTGTTAAATCCATATGAAGTGAAATATGATGCACAGTGATAATTGGGAACGGTTTAGAAGAGGAAGCAAACGGATAATTATCTTCAAACCTTTGGAAATTATTTTAACAAAACGGCTGAAAAATAGTAGTATTCCATGAAATTTTCTGGACCGTCCTGATTCAGGAAGAACTTAGGAGGATATGCATAAAACAACACATCAAAGCCTAAAAAGACAAATACAGAAGTAGTAAGATAAAATGAAAAGGATAAATTATTCTTTTATATTTTAATTCATTAAATACTTTTGTCCATACCATAACAGATTGAGGAAAATCTGGATGGGCAAATAAATACTTACAAATATAATTAAATTAATACTCAAAATACTTTAAACTTCTGGAGGCTTTTCAAAGGCAAGCATATAATTTTCCTGCTTTTCATTCAGTATTTAAAGGTGCATTTTAATTATCTCTTTCAACTCCAAGTCAACTTTTCAAAATCAAGCCTTTAGACACTTGCAAATTTTGCAATTAAAACGAGCCAGACAATGGTTTTTTTATTTTTTTTCCAACGCAAAAACAACTTAATTAAAAAGTACATAATAAATTTAGGCCTGTTCGGGACAAATGCAGAGCACAGCAACATTCACAAGTGCACAATTGCTTGAATTATTAATTTTTAAAATTCTGAGTTCGGGTTTGAATTTGTCTTTTTTGCTTATTTACTTATATTTTCGCGTATGCCACTTTAGTCATAAAGAATACCAAAATTAGCCCAGAAATAGTTAGTGTATAAAACATGTTTTTCGCTTGATTCGTCACGAATCTCTGAATTTCGTTAGCAAAATGTTTGTCCCTAAGTAGAATTTTTTAAAACGAATTAGCAAAACGTAATTCTGAAAATACGAACGGTAATAAATTCCAGGAACAAACTTTCGTGCTTGAAAACGCGGTTGAAAGCTTAATTCCAGGCATTGAAAGCCATGTATTATGAATGAGCTTTTTTTCCTGGTTTTACCTACTTTGTTATCCCATATTTTTATAGGCCATTTGGGCAGAAGCTCAAAGAGCATTGTTTCAAAGGTAAAAGATGTTTCGTACTTTCATTGAAAAATAGTTTAAATTTTCAATGATTGTTGATGGTTTGAACTGGATTTTGAATTGAAAAATCAACTTAAGCCTTTATTTTATGTAGAGCATACAAATCCAATTTTGCACAGACGAATTATCAGAGCGAATTTTCATATATTGTATACATGTTACACAATTTATTAACATACTCTTTTTTAGGTTCATTTAGGTTCTTTTGATAACGATAGCAGAAAATAGCTATCTAAACGTCAAGGTAATTT